CAGCCTGGGCAGCTTAGTGATTTGGCAAGAATCTGTCTCAAAACAAAACAAAATTTAAGGGCTGGGGATGTTGCTCAGTATGAAAGTCCCAGTTTCAATCCCCACTACCAGAAAAAAAAAATTATTAAGTAACAAAAGCAGATCTCACGTAAAGCTACTTCCAGTCTCTTGTGAAATCTCACAAAAACAGTATAGTGAAGAGATTTTTCAAGACAGGAACATGAATTGGGAAAATGAAAGAAGCAACAGTAACGAAATTTGAGCAACTGGGAAAAAAAACAGATGCATGTCAGTAACGTAGTAGAGGAGAGAAACGGAGCGGTCTCCTGAGTCTGGCTGGGCAGCGAAGACCCCAACCCAGGGTCCCCTCTGCCGGACCCTGGTAATGTGTGCTCCATTGTGGTGCCAGGAGCGCCCTGCACAGTAGCACGCTGCCTGCTGATAACAAAGGCAGCGCAGCTTGGGGAAAGACAACCGCTCCAGTGTGCACCCAGAATTCTCCAGAGGTCTGCGATTAAGGCACCACCACACAGCACTGGAGAGGAGAAATAAAGAGGAAGTGCCCGCATGAGAAATAGAGGTAGAAGCTTATACATATACATACATATATCCAGCTCAGAGAACATTTTGCTTTGAAGTGCAAGGCCAGCTTCCAATTTCATTTGCTTTCTCTCTTTTTTTTTTTTTTTTTTTTTTACTTTTTGAGACAGGGTCTTGCTATTCGGTTCAGGCTGGCCTTGAGCTCACTTTGCAGCCCAGGCTGGTCTCAAACTTGTGACAATCCTCCTGCCTCAGCCTCCCAAGTGCTGGGATTACAGGCGTGCGCCACCATGCCCTGCACATTTGCTTTCTACATGACTGCTTGTATTAACTACTTGCGGAACACCACCATTTTCAATTCCAGATCCACGTCTCTTCCTAGAGCTGCTCCCAAAGTTGGATTCTAGCCATTGATTTTTATGTGCTTGTGGGCTTCGTGCACTGACAGATCTAGAAAACACCACAGCTTAGGCTTCGGGTTAAATATTTCCCTGTGAAACAGTCACACCTCTACATTGAAATGTGAATCTCAAGTCATCATAACCCTGATTAGAAGTCTTCGTCTCTGATTCTTCATCTCGCTGTTAGTTCTGTCTGTCCGCTTCCTTAAAACATCTTAGGAATTCACTGCCCTTGTGAAACTCGTGTTTTCCTTAACTGCCTTAATGTGAAAAACAGTATCAGTGATCATCAGAGCAAGAGTATTACAACCGTCGTCATTCTTCAGAACTTAGACATTTTTGCTGGTCTCTAATGGCATGTTTCCTCTGCAGGGTAATAGAATGTACCAGACCTTTTGTGTTTAAAGCTGCTGTATGCAGCCCTGCTCTCCATCCTCCCCCATCCGCCTCCCTAGCCCGACTGCATTCCAGTCATATTTAAAGGAAGAAAGAGTTGGAAGATGTGAAGAAAAACCAAAGTAATATCCCCCACCCAAGGGTCCCTATCACTGCCAGCCATCTGCACATGCTATTCTCAGTAAGAGAGATAATTCTATTTTATCTGGCTAAAGTACAGATCAGCCTTTAGTAATCAGTTTAGACTTTGCACCTTGGGCCAGCGATATAGCTCAGTGGCATAAGCGCCTGCCTGGCAAGTGCAAGGTCCTGAGTTCAATTCCTGGTACCAAAAAAGAAGTAGACTTTGCACCTCATGGGACACCTTCTCTGAGCTGGTCTATGGTTCCGTAGCTCCCCTACCTGCTCCTACAGAACCTGACCTGATGTGTCTTCCATCAGTGTACTCACCCTTGTCTTATTCATGGTCTGCCTGCCCACTGGACAGGGAGCTCTTTGCAGACTGAAACTGTCTTGTTCTCAGCCAGATCCCTAGCATCTGGCACAATCTTCAGCACATAGTGAGTCTGCAGTAAAATATATCTCGATTAAATGTTCAAGACATGAGGGGCTGGGGATTTAGCTCAGCGGCAAAAGCGCCTGCCTGGCAAGCGCAAGGTCGTGAGTTCGGTTCCCGGTACCGGAGAAAAACCAAAATAAATAAATAAATAAATAAATGTTCAAGACATGAATGTGCATTTCTAATGAATGCATAATATACATTCATTGTAGAGTATTTGGGAGTAGAGCCTTAAAAATTTTTAAAGAAAATGAATATAAGTCTCAAAACTAGGGACAATTTGTGTTAGCATTAGGGGTTTCTTTGCTTCCAGTTAACTTTTTCCATTAAACCCACTGTATATAAAGCTCTCAGCACTTCTGTTTCCACTTAACATTATACTGTCATACTGAAAATACTGTTAAGCATTCTATTCTTATGCCAAAATTACTGTTAAGCATTATATTCTTATGCCAAAAATACTGCTAAGCATGTACTCTTGTAAGTACAGATTCTTTGGAAACTTTAATGGTTATAAGAAGAACATAAGTTTAGAAGTAACAGTTTATTCAGATATTGTGTTGTTGAACTTTAAGTTAGTTAAAAGTTTTGCCAAACTGCATGGGAAATACTTCAAAGAATCAACAACTGGAATCTCATCTTATTAAAAAGTTTTTGTGGCCAGGCATGGTGGTGCACGCCTGTGATCCAACTTGGGAGGCTGAGGCAGGAGGATTGTTGTGAGTTTGAGACCAGCCTAGGCTACAAAGTGAGCTCAAGAACAGCCTAAAATGCATAGGGAGACCTTGTCTCAAAAAGACAGAAAAAAAAAAGCATACAAATAATTTCAAAACATCAGGCCCCCAAAATTCAAAGACCCAGTCCAAAAATGTACATCTGAGATGAATATACACTTCTAGCTGAAGAAATACAAATGGCAAATAAATACATGAGAAAATGTTCATCATTGGTCATCCAAGAAATGCAAATTAAAACAACACTGAGATTCTATCTCACCCCAGTAAGAATGACTGTCATCAAAAAGTCAACCAATAACAAATATTGGAGGGGCTAAGGAGAAAGAAGAACCCTTCTCCACTGTTGGTAGGAGTGCAGACTGGTGCAAACACTGGAAATCAGTGTGGAGAGTTCTCAGAAAACTAGGATTAGAGGTCTCATTCAACCCAGCTACTTCCCTTCCAGGTATTAATTAAGAATTAAAAACATCATACCACAGCAATACTTGTGCACCCATATTTATAGCAGCACAATTTGAAATAGCTAAGTTTTGGAAATAACCCAAATGCCCAACAACTGAGGAATGGATAAAAGAGATATGGTATTTTTATACAATAGAGTATTGCTCACTATAAAAAAATATAAACTCGAGGCTTTTATAGGTAAATGGATGCAACTAAAGACCATACTCATGTCAAATAAATCAGACTCACATGTGTAAACATTGTATTGTCTCCCTAGTGTAAGAAACTGAAAGAGTAAATAAAACCCAGAAGTTACAATAGATAATGTTAAGGGAAAAGAAACTGCTAAAAAGGAAAGAATAACTGGGGTGAGGGAAAAGAGAAAAGAAAGAAAGAAGGGGAAAATAATATATATACACATTCAAGGGAGCTAAGGTAATTGTTCTACTAATTTCTATTAGTTCATTGAAAGGAACAGTTAGGGGCTGGGGATTTAGCTCAGCAGCAAACGCGCCTGCCTGGCAAGC